TTATTATCATATTTTTCCATTTAAATCCCCAGCTCTAGAGTTTATCATTCCCTGACACATTCCTGGTTTGTATATTTGTGTGTTTGCTTATTTTCTCCTTTGCCCTGACTTGAATGCAACTTTCCTGAAAGCTAGGACCCCGGCTGGCTGGTTCACCTCCGCATCCCAAAGCCTGGTATGTGCATAGCAGGTACTCAGAGCATGATTACTTTATGATTTCAACATACAGCAACTGGCTGTTCCCTATGTGTAGAAGGCCATGATGCCAAAGCTATTCATGAACATGGTGATCAAAATAGGGTAAGGAAGCTCCAACTCTTGCAACCCCAGATTCCCTCCAGGCAAGCGCCACTCTATCATAATAACCATGGCTGGAAACTCACCATGAGCCAGACTCTGCACTAAGGACACACCTTACTCCATTAACTCTCACAGCAACCCCTGTAGGAACCCCTGTCTTGTGGAGGCATCACTGAGGCTTTGAGGAGTTAAGTAGCTTACTTGAGATCATACTATTAGCAAGTCAAGGAACCAACACGTGCATCCAGTTTACCCAGAGCCCCCACTCCTGAACCACACTGCCTTGAAGCCACTTAAACATGCATCCATAAGAACTGTATGATCTCACCTGGTTTAGGACACATTCGCTCATTCATACATAGATTCATTCATCCTTGCCTTCATTCTCTCATTCATGCGTGCGTTCATTGATTATTACATTCATTCTCATTCCTGTGTGTGTTCCTTCATTCTTGCATTCATTCACTGATTCATGCGTGCATTCTCTCAACATCCATTTACTGATTACTTACTCTGTGCTAAGCACTGTTTTGGCTCTGGGATTTAGTGGTTAACAACAATCAAAAAATCCACATCCCAGCCTTTGTGAAGCCCACATTAAAGGGAGGAGACAGAGCTGGGATTTATGATGGATGACGTTGCAAGTGCCTCAGGCAACTGGCAATCCCTGGGCATGCACTTGCTGAGCCCCAGGGCCCAAGCTGGGGCCTGCAAAGTCCAGGGTGTATAAAGGAAAGAGCTTTCCCTTTTCAGGGGGAGGGCATTTGTGAGCAGTCAATTGTGCTCTGATGTGACAGGTGTCACCACAGAGAGGAAGTCAGGCTCCACCATCCTGGATTGGCAGGAGGACTGGAGCCAGGTGGGCACAGTCCCGGAGAGTGGGCTGGCAGTCTGTGGGCATCCACACTCTTCAGGGCTCACAAACCTGCTCTGAAATAGCGCATTATTATTATTATTATTTAATTTTTAGAGATGGGGTCTTGCTATGTTGCTCAGGGTGAACTCAAACTCCTGGCTCCAAGTGATCCTCCCACCTCAGCCTCCCAAGTAGCTGAGAATACAGGTGCTTGCCACTGCACCCACGCATAGCTATTCTTAATTAGAGCTGGGTTTTCTTAGGGCCAGTGATCTCTAGTTTAGCTCTTTCACCCATCCCTGATCTGTTTCCACAAAGGAGAATACCCACCTCTCAGCAGCAACAGCTCCAATCCTTACTTGGGCATTCAAGGCTCTGTTCACACCTAGGACGGCATGCCCAGCTGCTTCTCTCTCCAGAATCACAGAGAGAGATGAGCAACATGTAATGCGTGATTTCACTAATGCCCTGTCCCTTTCCCTGCACACCCCATTCTCTCAGTCCCAGTGCCCTCCCCTGCCTCATGCTTGGCAAAATCCTATTCATGCTTCAAATCCCAGTCAGAGCCATCTCGGTGGTGTGAAGCCCCCTGCCCTTACTCCTCAAAAGAGCTAATCAGTCCTCCCTCGGGACTAACCTCCCCCTGGAGCACATTCTAATACCTGCCCATGTGCCAGCATTCCCTTCTCCACAGTAAACCCTTAGAGGAAGTGTTCACGATGAAGGGCTGGCCCATGGAAGATTTTATGCAAATGTCTGTTGCGTTAAACCGACAAAAGTTCACAGCACTTCTCAGAACCTGGGAGGTGTTTCTTTCAATCTTAAGTTTTTTAGTAATCAGGTGCTCTGACAATCTTCACTCTTCTTATGTTTCCATCTCCTCTTATCCAAGTTGGGGCCACCCCTCTCTCCTTAACAGATATATTAGTCTGTTCTCATGCTGCTAATAAAGACATACCCAAGACTGGGTAATTTATAAAGGAAAGAGTTTTAATGGACTCACAGTTCCACATGGCTGGGAAGGCCTCACAATCATGGCAGAAGACAAAGGAGAAGCAAAGTCATGTCTTACACGGTGGCAGGCAAGAGAGCTTGTGCAGGGGAACTCCCCTTTATAAAACCATCAGATATCATGAGACTTATTCACTACCATGAGAACAGCATGGGAAAGACTCGCCCCCGTGATTCAATTACCTCCCCACCCGGTCCTTCCCATCACACATGGGCCTTATGGGAGCTACAATTCAAGATGAGATTTGGGTGGGGACACAGCCAAACCATATCAACAGATAAGAGGAAACCACCACTCTAAGCTCACCTTCCACACAGCCTTCCTGCTCAAACCATCAGTGACTCCTCATTTCTCCTGCCCAACTTGCCACTATACACAGGGGCCGCCATGATGCTATGAGCTCCCCTCTGCAGGACTATGACCACTACGATGTCACCCCCAGCCATTCCCTGAGATCAGTCTCCTTCACCGCTACCCTGGAAGGGTAATAATAACGGTGGTGGTGGTGGTGACAGTCAATCGTATTGAGCACTCCCTGGAGGCTGGGCACCAGGTGCTTGGATGTTCACCCACATAAGACTCATGAGAGCCCTGCAAGACGCTACTACTATCCCTGCTGGACAGAAGAGTAAACTGAGGACCAGAGAGAAGACACCAGACCCAAGTCACAAGTGGCTGACCTGGGACTCAAGGCTGGGCTACTAGCACCCCACTGTGCTATCAGTGGGATTCAGGATGCATTATTCCAAAATAGGGCATCCTAAGCATATTGAATATTTTAAGCTGAAGGAATTTGAGCAATGGCAGGTGCAGGAAGGACCCTCTGACATTCCTCTAAAGCAGGTTACTGACCCTCATGCGAGAGGAGCCCTCCCTATACCTGGGGGACAGAACATCCTATCTCCAAGGACATAGAGACAGTGAGAACTCTGAATGCACAGGCCCTGCCAAGGTCCTCCCAGTTCCCCACACTTAGTGCATACTACTTTACTAAGAACAAAGATGGCCGAGCACGGTGGCTCACACCTGTAATCCCAGCACTTTAGGAAGCCGAGGCAGATGGATCACTTGAGGTCAGGAGTTTGAGACTAGGCTGGCCAACATGGTAAAACCCCGTTTTTACTAAAAATAAAAAAATTACTTGGGCGTGGTGGTGGTCCTGTAGTCCCAGTTACTTGGGAAACTGAGGCAAAAGAATCACTTGAACCCGGGAGGCGGAGGTTGCAGTGAGCCAAGATCGCGCCACTGCACTCCAGTCTGGGAGATAGCGTGAGGCTTTGTCTCAAAAAAAAAAAAAAAAGAAAGATGCTAATCATGCCTGAAGAAGCCAGATAAAATACCGGAGACCCAGTTAAATTTGAACTTCAGAAAAACTGTGAATCACTGTTGCATATAAGTATGTCCCAAATATTGCATGGGACATACATATACTATATTGGTTGTTTATCTGAAATTCACATTTAACTGGGCCTCCGGTATTTTTATCTGCTATGTGTGGCAACCTTAACCATGCCCCTCTAAATGAACTTTGAGACACTAAATAAAAAATGTTGTAGCCACAGGGACTTGGGGGGCTTCATAGTGGTCTTAAAACCTGACAAGGGATGCAAACTGTTGTGTGAAGGTTGGGATTTATCTGAGGGAAGGGTCTACGCATTGATCAGTTTTCTCAGGGGAACTCATTGGCCACCCAAATGAAGAAAGATGTCCATTCGCCATCAGCCAGAACCAGAGGCTGCTCAGGAAACTCTCACGCTTTCGTCAACCCCTGGTTCTGTCTGCTGCTGTTCTCCAGCTTCATGTGGCCCCGCACTGGGTACTGCCTACCCCCCTGCCTCCTGACACCCTGCCTGGCCTCCCTAACCTGGGCCCTGGCCTGCTAGCCCCAGTGCCCATGTCCCAGCATTTGCACATGCTGCTCTGCTAGCTGGGATGCTCTTCCCTCAGACCCCTGCCCGACTGGTTGCTTCTCAGCCTTGGGGTCTCCGCCAATGTGCCTCTTACTCAGAGGAAACTTCCCTGTCTGCCCCTTCTACACTATCCCCTATTGCCAGTTAACCTCCACCTCATTGCCCTGTTTTGTTTTCTTTGTAGCACTTTTCGTAGCCGGATCATCCACTGTATTGACAGATCATCCATCCGTACTGACAGATGTATTTGAGTCTTTATCGGCTACTCAATGCACCAGAATATAAATTCCACGTGGGCAGGGGCCTCATCTGTCCTGCTGGCACTGGATCACCTTGTCTTGCCCCACTGCAGCTTCTCTACATGCATTTGCCGTGTGAAGAATTTCCATTTTATGGATGAGTTGATTTGATGGTTCTCAGAACCTGCTAATAACAGGTGACTCTCAAAGTGGCGACTACATGCTGGGCTCTAGTCTAAAGAGCCTTATGCATATTATTCAAGTACTTTTTATCATCCCCATTTTACAGATAAGGAAACTGAGGGCTACATTGGTCATGACATGTCCCAGGTCACACAACTGCTAAGTGGCAGAGCTGGGACGTGAATTTAGGAAGTTTCGCTCCAGAGTCCATGTACTCGCAGTTTAGTTTATCCTGTGCTACAGACACTACCCAATTGTCAACAAGACCTCATCTGTGCAAGGCTTTGTGCCCGGCACTGAGAGGTGATAGCATGGATCAGACTGAGTCCTGGTGGGGAAGAGAAAACACACACACACCCACACACACACAGAAGTGGGCGCACGCGCGCATGCCTGCGGAAGACAGACCTGCAGGGCAGGCCTTCTGAGAGGTGAGCTGACAGGGCAGGAATTCCACAGGCAGGTGAGAGCCAGTGGTTGATGTGCACAAGGGGTCTTACTTTTCTTGTGGCTGTAGAACTTGTCCTCAGAACCATCCTTGGACTTCTTAATGATCAGTTTCCCAGACTCAACGTCGACTTTGAGCTGCATTTTCTGAGGAATCCCCAGAGACTCTGCCTTCACCTTAGAAGGGGAAGAGATGTGTGACTCATTGATTTTCTGCCTGGGCTTTTGCAAGGCTCCCCCGGCCCGAGCCCCTTGTCTACATGGCTGGCAACCTCTGGTGGGCGTCCTTCGTAGGGCCACTGGGCTTCTCTTGCCCCAGCAGTGCACATGCACATTTCCACAGGCATCTCCCGGGAATCACAGAGACTCTCGGGGCACCCCCCTTGTCCACTGTGTGTGGGGGAGCCGTTCTGCCAACAGGTTTGCTGGTGGAAACAGACAAATTGCTGGAAATGGTTCATTCACTGATGACTTTGACAACACTCATTAATCTGATGTGTCACCTACTTCCGGAAAGGATTTTAGTAATAGATTTAAACTCCCAGGCCTTGTTACAACCACTGATTGAACATTTACTGATAATGATAGAAAAAAAAAAAACCCACAACAGTTGTGTACGCATGCTCAGAAAATGGAAATTTACCTTAATAGAGGATTATCACAGGGTCTAGAAAGGACTTTGGGGAGGGGAATGTGTGTGTGGGGGAGGGGGTGTGGGTCTCATACTGGATTTCTGAATGTGGGACCAGTGCTGGGCTGAATGTACTAGAATCTCTGGGGATTGTAAAGAAAAACACATTTTGGGTCAAGCCTGGAGGGTCTAATCCAGTCATTCTCAGGGAAATCATAGGAGTTGCACGTTTTTTGTCTTGTTTTGTTTTGTTTTTCTGAATTCCCTACCCACTTGAGGCAGTATTTTGCAGCCCTGTCTGATATCACTCATCTCTGCCATTTTGAGAAGGACAAAGTTTACATGGTGCCTGGGCCAATGAGACACTCCTCCCTTGCAGTGCCTCTCTGAAGGCGGTTTCCCAGTCACCTCTGGGTGCCCGTTCTGACGCTGAACCACCGTCACAGTGACACAGGTCCACTGACTGCCATTCTTGGCTGTTGGGCTCCTTGCTCTTCCCCAGCTCAAGCCTCAATCCCTCTTTCCACAGGAACCAGAACATGTCTCTCTGCCCAGCTGTGGAGCCCAAGCCCAGGCTCTGCTGTCCCACGGCCACTTACCTCAAAGGTGACTGGAGGGATAAGGGAACGCCGGTGGGGGGACTCAGGACCCTCGTGCAGCAAGGCCTTGACCTGTGGGCAGCAGCGTTAGAGACAGAGGGTCAAGGGGACATCGAGCCTGTACATCTGGACATTCTCCATGCAAAGAGGGGACCAAAGAGGGGACGAAGAGAAGCCACAGGAGCCCCACACGTACCTTGTCTTCAATAGAGGACAACAGGCTTGTCAGTTGGCTGAGCTTGGACACCATGTTGATGGGATTGGCCTCACCAGGAACCTGGGAAAGGAGGGAAAGAAGATCAGGGCAGTATCACTGAACCCGAACCACTGAGAGGCAACGCACTGGGTGCTCTCCGCACCTCACCCCATTCCACTCTCCCCGCAGCCCTACCAGTTCTATTATTATCCCCTCCAGCAGATGAGGACACAGGGATCTCTACAATCTTCTCAGAATTCACATGGCCAAAAAATAGATCTTCATTTCTTCTTCCTTCTAAATCTGTCTCTCCCCCGGTGCTTCTCACCTCACCCACTCCGTTGCTTAAACAAAACTCGAGGACTGTCCTTGCATATTACCTTTCCTCCCTCCTACACCTCCTGCATGGTGTTCCCATCCTACTCCCAAAATAGACCCAGCCTGCTGCTTGAAACCCCAGTACAGTTCTCCATGTAGAGGAGAAAATGATCCTGACCCCTTCCCTACCCTCTGAGGTCCTATATGATGCAGCGCTCCGCCCCCCCACTGCCCCACCAAGATCCGAGCCACTCTCATCTTCAAGTCAGTTCTGCCTTGAGCTTCCCTTCTGAGGAATCTCCAGAGACTCAATTTCCCCTGGGAGGGGCACCTCCTCATCATTCAGGTCTCAGCCTCACAAAGAGGTCTTCCCTGACCACCCTGTCTAAAATAGCTGCCAGGTCACCTCTATCAAGTTACCTTGTTTTGTTCCATATCAGTCACCACCAGCTAAAGTTATCTCCTTCCAATATGTGTTCACTGTATGTCTTCCCTGCTGAATGGAGGCTCCAGAGAATGGAGATCAAGAGGACTGTATTCAGTACTGCAGCCTTGGGGCTCAGAACAGTGTCTGGCCAACAAAGATGCTCAGTAAAGTTGTTCAGTATATACAGGGCCCAGAGAGATGAACTAACTTGTCTGAGGTTGCACAGCTAGTAAATGGCAGAGCAAAACATGTATCCTGTCTGCCTGATGCCAAGTGCATGGTCGTAGGCACTTATTCACAGAAGAAACATTTATAAAGCATCTATTCTATGTTAGACATGCTGCCAGGTGTGGAAATGTAGAGTTAATAAGATACCTTATTAAGTTATTCATACCTTATTAAGTTAATACCAAGAGGTGGAATGAGAAAGTCAGATACATGTATGACTGATGTGAACACAAAGCAGAATGGAACCAGGGTTATCACCAGCCAGGTGATGTCCCTTTACCTCACCCCTTGCTGAATATAGCAGCCAGGCTGCACTTGCTTTTGACCTCAATTTTTCTACCTGGCTACTTTAATAAACTACTTTTACTATCACCACCTCCATTACCACTGCTGCCTCTGTCACAATGATCAATGGCACTGCCATGATCAATGGGATCCCCTTCAATAGCACCACCAGAGTCATCAGCATGGCTACCACAATCACCACCAACACCACCATCACTACCACCATCTCCACCCCATCATTCCCACCAGGATCATGACCACCTCCACCATCACCATCAGTACCACCATCTCCACCCCATCACTCCCACCATGATCATGACCACCTCCACCATCACCATCAGTACCACAATCTCCACCCCATCACTCCCACCATGATCATGACCACCTCCACCATCACCATCGCTAACACCATCTCCACCCCATCACTCCCACCATGATCATGACCACCTCCACCATCACTACTACCATTTCCACCCCTACCACTCTCACCATGATCATGATGACCTCCACCATCACCATCACTACCACCATCTCCACCCCATCATTCCCACCATGATCATGACCACCTCCACCATCACCATCACTACCACCATCTCTCCCCTACCACTCTTACCATAATCATGACACCTCCACCATCACCATCACTACCACCATCTCCACCCCATCACTCCCATCATGATCATGACCACCTCCACCATCACCATCACTACCACCATCTTCAACCCTACCACTCTCACCATGATCATGACCACCTCTACCATCACCATCACCATCACTACCACCATCTCCACCCCTAACACTCCCACCATGATCATGAACACCTCCACCATCACCATCACTACCACCATCTCCACCCCATCGCTCCCATCATGATCATGACCACCTCCACCCCCACCACTCTCACCATAATCACGACGACCTCCACCATCATGATCACTACCATCATCTCCATCCCCACCACTCCCACCATAATTATGACTACCTCCACCATCATCTCCACCCTCACCACTCTCACCATAATTATGACTACCTCCACCATCACCATCACTACCACCACCTCCACCCTCACCATCACCATCACTATCACTACCACCATCTCCACCCCACCAGTCCTATCATGATCATGACCACCTCCACCATCACCATCACCATCTCTACCCCTACCAGACCCACCGTGATCATGACCACCTCCACCATCACTATCACTACCACCATCTCCACACCTACTATTTTTACCATCATCATGGCCACCTTCACCATCACTATCACTACCACTATCTCCACCCCTACGACTCTCACCATAATCATGACCACCTTCACCACCATTATCACTACTATCATCTCCACCACTCCCACTCCCACCATAATCATGACTACCTCCACCATCACCATCACTATCACCATCTCCACCCTTACCACTCCTACCCTGACCAAGACCACCTCCACCATAACCATCACTACCACCATCTCCTCCCCTATCACTCCCATATGATCATGACCACCTCTACCGTCATCATCACTACCACCATCTTCAACCGTCCCACTCTCACCATGATCATGACCACCTCTACCATCACCATCACCATCATTACCACCATCTCCACTCCTACCAGCCCTCCCATGATCATGACCACCTCTGTCATCACCATCTATATCACCCTTAGACACCACACCATTCCCTGTCCCAATAACCATCACTACCACCATCACAGCAGTTAATAATTGTCAGTGCTTTCTCTAACCACTTTTTGGTCTTTCCCTTGCTTCTTAATAAAACTCACAATTCTTCTATAGTTATTGTCAATGAGGGAAGTGGCTTGAAGGGGTGGCGCTAAGACTCAGGCAAGGGACAACAGAAGGGCTGCCTGTTGGTTGAGAAGAAAAGCTGGTCAGGAGATGGGATAGTGTAGGATTCCCTTGTTCTAGGGTTATTTATCTCATAAATAATTGAAATGGTAACACAGATTCAAGCCTCCTCCTTTCCACAGTAGAGGACATTTGGAATGATCTGCCTTCACCCTGGGCAGTCACCATGCAATTGTAGGTCCCCCGCCCCCCACCGGCTCTCTCTTTGGATTTGTGACTTTTGGGAGGGGAGATCTGACAAGATCTTAGCATAAATGAAGTTACTGACAAACTGGGCATTTGTGCTTGAAACAAAAAGTATTAGAAAAATGCTGAAGCTTTCCCCATACTTCTGCCTAATGATTATTTGATGAGTTCTTACAATGTGCCAAGCATATCTTCAATATATTAAGTCATCTAATCCTCACATGTCTTGATTTTTCTAATCCTTGTTTTGCTGATGGGGGAATAGAGTCAGAGTGGTGAGTTTACAGCTAGTATAGATCTGATATTTGAATTGGGGGCTAGCCAGTGGTCCTTAGCTGGTGGTGATTTTGCCCTCCAGGGGACATTTGGCAATGTCTGAGACATTTCCAGTTGTCACAGCTGGGGGATGCTAATGGCATCTTATGGGTAAAGGCCAGGATGTGGAGGACTCCTAGAGTGCACAGGAGTCCTCCATGACAGAGAACAATCCAGTCCCAAATGTCACCAGTGTCGAGGTTGAGGACAGAATTCACAGCTTAGCCTGTGAATGGCTAGACTGGCCTGACGGTTTACATCAGCTGACCCAGTTTTTTCACTTTGCTTTTCAGTTGCACTTTTCAAACCAAAGGAAGTGGGGCTCCAAGGCAGGTTAACCATCCAAGGGAGGTTACTGGCTCTTCTTTCTCACACAGGGCAGACCCAGGTCTCCCCCATCCCCCAGGCCAGCCAGCATTTTGATAACATTGCATTTCCCACTTCCCAGCAGTCCTCAAGTAACCACACAGGGGTTTGGGTGTCCCCAGCTTGTCCTGCCTACTTAAGGGAAAGGGCCTCATGTTGGTGAGAGTCTAGCAGGGTCAGATGTCTCACGCACCCAGTTTCACTCACTCCTTAACCAAACCCTGCAGAGATATTACTGTCCCCATTTCACAGATGGGGAGACTAAAGATCCACGAGGGTGAATCAGATTTTGAACTCAGGTGTTTCTGATCCATGGGCCAATGTTCTTTCCTCTCCTCAAGGCAGCCTCAACTCCCTCCTTGATTTCTGAGTTCCTGAAGACACATCAAGAATAACCTTTTCTGGTTTTCTTCAAGACTCAGAGTCTCGTAAAGGGGAGGGGAGTGTGGCAGCAAGACCCACCCTCCACCGTGTGCCTGCTCTGTCCTGCCACCAAATGCAGAGACTGGCCTCCACCCGGCAGCACCGTAACTGGGACTGCAGCTGGCCTCTCTCTCGAGGCTTTGTCTCTCTTCTAATCTACTTCAAAGACTTGACTGTGTGTTCTTCCACTCAAGTGACTTAAGCTCAAAAGTTGGGCAGAGCCCCTGTTTTGTCCAGATTTGCTTTTACTTCCTTAGAAATTAACCCATCATTCACCTCGGAGAAAGCAAAACTTTTTTTTTTCTGAATTTCGAAAGTTGCACAAGTAGAACACAAATACATGTTCTCCGTAGAAAACTCAAACAAACAATGTGGGCAAACTCAAAATCCCCTTTGGCCCAGTCCCCTTCTCCCCAGTCTCATCCCTGCATTGTGGTGACCAGCACAGCCCTTTGGGTTTAAATCCTTCCCATCTGATTTCCTCGTGGAGACTTCGTCAGAGTTTCTGTATCATCCCGCCGTTTGCTTTTCCACCTAACAGTAGCCTTGGAGATCTTTCCAGAGCAGTGTTCACACCTTAGAGTAGAATTCTGCACCACTGCAGTTCACCAGCTCCCTATATTTATATGATTTTCTTTTTTTTCTTTTCCTTTTTTTTTGTTTTAGATGGAGTCTCACTCTGTCACCCAGGCTAGAGTACAGTGGCACAGTCTCGGCTCACTGCAACCTCCGCCTCCAGGGTTCAAGCGATTCTCCTGTCTCAGCCTCCCTAGTAGCTGGGATTACAGGTGCCTGCCACCATGCCTGGCTAATTTTTGTATTTTTGGTAGAGACAGGGTTTCACCATGTTAGTCAGGTTGGTCTCGAACTCCTGACAGGTGATCCACCCACTTCGGCCTCCCTAAGTGCTGGGATTAGAGGTGTGAACCCCCATGCCCGGCCTGTTTATGTGATTTTCAATGTTTTTTCTTTTACTCTTTGTGTACTTATAGTCCCTAAGAAGCTGCCGACATATGGAACTGTGGGCTTGAGGGATGCCTGCAGTTCACATTTTCATACAAACGGCCAAACTGCCTTTCAGAAAACCTATTTCCATTCCCAACAGCAGAGGAGTGAGTCCCTGTGAGCACCTCTTCCACCCCACACCCTAGCCAAGTCCTGACTCACCCATCAACTTTAGCATCAACTCTTTGCCCATCTAATAGCCAAGAAGAGGCCGCCTAGTGTCAAATGTCATTTCCTGGTTACTAACAAGGTGAGGCTGAACACCTTTTCATATCTATATTGGCTATTCCCTGTCCCTCTTCAGTGAGCCGCCTTGTTTATAGTCTTTCCCTCTTTTAAAAATTGGATTGTTTTTACTTAACTGTTTGTAGGAATTTTTTAAAAACATGGCCAGGCATGGTGGCTCCCACCTGTAATCCCAGCACTTCAGAAGGCTGGGGCAGGAAGATTGCCAGAAGTTTGAGATCAACACGGGCAACATAGTGAGACCTGTCTCTACAAAAAGTTTTAAAAGGAGACTGGCGTGGTGGTGCGCACCTGTAATCCCCAGCTATTAGCTGATGAGTAATTGCGGTTTTAAAACATGGGAGGCTCAGGTGGGGTGGATCTCTTGAGCCCCGATGTTTGACGATGCAGTGAGCTGTGATTGCGCCACTGTACCCCAGCCTGGGTGACAAAGCAAGACCATGTCGCAAATAAAAATAATAATAATAAACATATGAATACTTTGTCTGTAATCCTTTTTCCCTAATCTTTGTTGCAGGTATTTTCTTCTGAGGTACAGCTTTTACTTTTTTAAAAACTTGTTAAAATTTTTTGATGACACCTTTTGTTACACAGATATTTGCTTAATGGGCAACACGACCTTGGCCTCCTGCCAGGCCACGAGCAGGTGTGGGGGTGGGGGGCACCTTCATCCTGCTCCTCCTGGGATAAGAGGCAGGATCAAGAGTTTAGGTGCCTCCTCTTTTTCTTTCCTTTCAGTTTCTGATGAGAAATGATGGGAACAGGCCCTGCTTGCCCCCTTATTTGGTACAAATAAGTTTTGCTGATGGGTGCATAATTTTTTTTTTTTTTTTTTTTTGAGACGGAGTCTCACTCCGTCGCCCAGGCTGGAGTGCAGTGGCCGGATCTCGGCTCACTGCAAGCTCCGCCTCCCGGGTTTACCGCCATTCTCCTGCCTCAGCCTCCCGAGTAGCTGGGACTACAGGCGCCGCACCTCGCCCGGCTAGTTTTTTGTATTTTTAGTAGAGACGAGTTTCACCGTGTTAGCCAGGATGGTCCTCGATTCCTGACTCATGATCCGCCCGTCTCGGGTCCTCCCCAAAGTGCTGGGATTACAGGAGTGAGCCACCGCACCCGGCCGGGTGCATAATTTGAAATCTTTATTCCTCAAATCAAAATCTGGCAGTGGGAGATGGCTTCCTGGGAAGGGCAGGGGCTGAGGCTCCCACCACCCACCCCAGCGTACCTGCTTGCTGTTGCCCAGTGAACACACGGTGGGCCTTGCTCCCCTCTTCCTCCTGAGCCCTCAGGGCTGGCTAACTCAATCCTCCTCCCTGGTGGATTAATCTCACCTTTTCAACCCCAAGACCCTTTACCTGAGGACGTGGACGGAGGCCCGGGGAGAGCTGCTGGTCAAATAACCTCTGCAGAGACTCCAGGGATGGGAGGGTCCGGACGACTTCTCTGGGGGCGGGGGACAAGGTGAACGTCAAGGATTAGTGGGCACTGAAAAGAGTCTTCCATGGCAGCGTGGGCTCCAGCCAGAGACAAGGTCACCCTCAGTCCAGCAGAAGCAAGTAATTCTCCCCAGAAGGACAAGCCCGGGCAAAGATCAAGGCTTGCCAGCACTGGCCCACCCACATTTGACCCGCATCCGTTCCCGACCCACAGCAAACTGGAATTGGTGTGTAGTCCTGATTTTACCTGGGTTTTGCTTTAGCCAAACTACACTCCATAGCCTGTAGAAAGTTCAAATCTAGAGTCACAAAATGACTTCACTTAGTCATCCATGGTTCCCAACCTTCAGTGTTTATAAAACACAAACACACACACACACACACACACACACACACACGTGTTAACAATGCAAATTTCTGGGCTCCGGCATGATTGAGTCTGGAATCTGCATTTTAAATATCAGGGCTGCCCAGTGCTGGTGATCTGTGGATTGTGATGCAAATCCCCTCCTAGCCGCCCAAATGCAGACTCAGAGGGATTTTCCCATTGTCATATCCATTGACAACTCCAATCCTCAGGCTTTATCCGCTCTTTGTTCCCAGCTCATCTTTCTCTATTGTTTTAACATGGTGGGGCAGACGATTTTGAGTTCTACTTTTCACTTATTGTTTCATCAAAAACTGTTCATGTTTTTACATATTTAACATTCTAATGATTTGAAAATAGTCTATCAAGTAAATGTGCTGAAATTGATTGCTAGATATTTGGGTTACTTTGAGATCTTTGTTACATAAATAAAGGCTGCTCTGGGCCGCGCGGTGGCTCATGCCTGTAATCCCAGCACTTTAGGAGGCCAAGGCGGGCAGATCACAAGGTCAGGAGATCAAGACCATCCTGGCTAACATGGTGAAACCGAAACCCCGTCTCTACTAAAAATACAAAAACATAAATAAATAAATAAATAAAATTAGCCAGGTGTGGTGGCGGGCGCCTGTAGTTCCAGCTACTCGGAAGGCTGAGGCAGGAGAATGGTGTGAACCTGGGAGACAGAGCTTGCAGTGAGCCGAGATTGCACCACTGCACTCCAGCCTGGGTGACAGAGCGAGACTCTGTCTCAGAAATAAAAATAAAAATAATACAGCAATAAATAAAGGCTGCTCTGAACAGCTCTGTTCATATAGCTTTTCTAATTTTTAATTACAGAATTAGGATAAACAGGGATTATGGCTCCTGATCGTTATTGCCAAACCTGTGAGTACCAGTTATACAGAGTCACCAGCATTGTCCAGACCTGATCACCCAATAGCTCCAATGGCTGTACTTCTGTTCTTTCTCTCTTTGAAGGGGCATAATACTGGATTTTAATATAGATGAATAAATTTGCATATCTTTAATTTCTAATGTCATTGTTTTTCTACTGCTGATTTCTAGTTAATGGCTGCTGCATTTCTCCCATTTCTCTTTGTATAAACTTTTTTGTTTTTTCTCCCTTGCCAATTTTCTGTTGGGAATTTTGTTCACATTTTTATATAGTGTCATACACTTTACATATTGCTTTGCTTTTTTTTTTGAGACAGAGTCTTACTCTGTTGCCCAGTCTGGAGTGCAGTGGCGTGATCCTGCCTCAGCCTCCCGAGTAGCTGGGATTACAGGCATACACCACCATGCCCAGCTAATTTTTGTATTTTTAGTAGAGATGGGGTTTCGCAATATTGGCCAGGCTGGTCTTGAACTCCTGACCTCAGGTGATCTACCCACCTCGGCCTCCCAAAGTGCTGGGATTACAGGCGTGAGCCACCAGGCCTGGCCTTCTTTTTATTTAATCTAGGTGCTGTATTTTTTTTCTTATTACATTATTAATATAATAATATAATATAATCTCATTATATCATAATAATAAATGCTAATATGTGTGTGTGTGTGTGTGTGTGTATATATATATATATATATATTTTTTTTTTTTTTTTGAGATGGAATTTTGCTCTTGTTGCCCAGGCTGGAGTAGAGTGGCAGGATCTTGGCTCACTGCACCTCTGTCCCTCCGGTGTTCAGCGTTTCTCCGTGTCTCGGTTTTGCTCGCTGATGCTGGGATTTTACAGGCTGCACATCGACCCCACCCACGCTAATTGTTTCGAGTAAGAGTTTCTCAGTGTTGGTCAGTGTCTCGAATCCTTGACCTCAGGTGAATCAGCTGCTCAGCCTCCAGGATGCTGGGATTTTACAGAATGAGTACCAGGCCCGGCTCGGGTTCTATAGAATATATTATTAATATATAATATATTTTCTATTCATTCTGTATATTAAGTCCTAGGTGACCTGGATTTCATGTTGGTGAAATTGTACACAATTTTATTGTTTGACAGTTTTCATGTTTCTTGGCATTTTACTTACATTAGTTAATAATTTTCATTTGGGTATCTTACTATGAGGCTTATTGCTTATTTTTAAATTGTTTTCTAATCTTTTTGATAATCCATGTTATAGATGAGGGGTTTTTGTTCCTTCTTTCCTTTTTTTTTTTTAGATGGAGTTTCGCTCCTGTTGCCCAGGGGGCTGGAGTGAATGGCGGCGATCTTGCTCACCAAACCTTTGCCTCCCATCGTACAAGTTGATTCTTCTACCTCAGGCCTCCGTAGGCTGGGGAGTTACAGGGCTGGAGTTAGTACCACACCCGGTGTAATTGGTATTTTTAGGTAGAGTTGGCGTTTCTTCTGTTGGGTCAAGCTGTCTGATTCGCTGAACCTCAGGTGATCCGCCCGCCTCGGTTTCCCAAAGTGTTGGGATTACAGGCGTGAGCCATTGCGCCCGGCCTATTGTTGTTGTTCTATGTGTTTAATTCCTTACCCCATCTAGAACTTTTTTCTTTTTAACCCATTTATGCCTAAGGTCGCATTTTTTTTTGAATTTTTGCAATCAGACCTTGGCGATGACCTTGAGCAGTAGGAAATAAATAACTCCCACATGCTTAGCATTCCAATAATGAAACGCTAGGCATAATTGGCTAAATATGCCTCTTTCTCTGAATTACTATTCTGTTTCACTCAACATCAGTTTCTTTTTTTTCTGTAGTTCTCTTTGGTTAGAGCTTTGCATGAATATGGTAGTATTTGTTTCCACGCTTCATTTCTTTCATTCAACTAAAAATCCAAACCTCACCACATATACTAGGCAAGGAATTACAGCTTCCAGAATGGTGTGCTAGTTTTCTGGTTTGAAATTGTTATCCTTTGAGGATCAAGGATGAGGATGGGAACTGTGACCAAGAAGCAGGTGCCGGAGGTGTCTGACGGGGAGGGGAAGGGAAGGGAAGCACGGTGCAGGCAGCGGTCTGTTCCGGGTTTCGCACTCCGCTTCCCAAGAGCTGCTCTGTCCATCTGCCAACACGGTGGTATTCTGATTAAATTATCATTTCGGAAAAGCATTTGGGCTAAAACATCTCTCTAAAGCAGTAATTCAGAACATGTTTTAACATCAAATAGGTCTCCCTCACTCATTGTTCTCCTTTTACAAAACGTTATCCTAAAAACACAAACACACAGGCATACACACAGAAGCTGAATCTTTAGGGTTTTCTAAGAATAACGCTGTTTCACCCTGTATTTCTAAGCCTTTTAAAACTTTGAGAAATCTGACTGGCTCCCAGACATATATGGAGGTGTCGGTTAGGGTCAGAATGACCAACCAGGACACACCAGGCCTGTAGCTGGAAGACTTAAGAATCAGCCTTATCCTACAGAAAGGATTTGTCCAGGGATCCCTGGACAACAAGTCCAGCCTTTGGTCCCTAGCTTAAGGGACGACCCTGAAGAAGGAGCTTCAGCCCTGGGGGAGCAAAGGTGAACAGGGCTGGGTCAGTAGGTCTGGCCCCGGGTATCACTGGGAGGGTTTAGATCCCTTGCTTGGTCTTTCTGAACCTCCCAGAGAGACAGCTGCTTCCCTCTTTGTTTCCCTTGAGTTAATTGCCTCACGATTCCCATTCAGTTTCTGTCTAGCACATCCAGAGTCTCTGAACCCAGAACTACAGACTCAGAAGGAACATTCTCATGCTTCCTCATGTCCCTTTATTTTTGTTTCCCCAATTTTTTGCCTCTTTTTTGGTATTTTGTAAGTATTTAAAAATCAGATGATAAACAGTATCTCGGGCCGGGCATGGTGGCTCACACCTGTAATCCCAGCACTTTGGGAGGCTGAGGCGGGCAGATCACCTGAGGTCAGGAGTTTGCAACCAGCCTGGCCAACGTGGTGAGACCCCATCTCTTCTAAAAATACAAAAATTAGCCGGGTGCGGTGGTGGGCACCTGTAATCCCAGCTACTGGGGAGGCTGAGGCAGGAGAATCGCTTGAACCCAGGAGGCAGAGGTTGCAGTGAGCCGAGATCACGCCATTGTACTCCAGCCTGGGCAACAAGAGCAAAACTCAGTCTAAAAAAAAAAAAAAAAGAGTATCTCTTTTTCTTTTGTTAAAATGTTTAATGGGGCCATGTGTGGTGGCTCACACCTGTAATTTCAGCACTCTGGGAGGGTAACGTAGGTGGATCACCTGAGGTCAGGAGTTCAAGAACAGCCTGGCCAACATGGTGAAACCTCATCTCTACTAAAAATACAAAAATTAGCCGGGCATGGTGGTGGGCACCTGTAATCCCGGCAACTCAGGAGGCTGAGGCAGGAGAATAGCTTGAACCCAGGAGGTGGAATTTGCAGTGAGCCAAGATCCTGCCACTGCACCCAGCCTGGGGGACGGAGTGAGACTCCACGGTCTCACAAAAAAAAAAAAAAAAAAGTTTAATGGAATGATTTTAATGTTTCCCTATCAATTGTAATTAGTTTTACTTTGATTCATATTGCATTACTAAGGAAGTATCCTTCTATTCCTTTTTTTAAAAAATGATTTTTACAAATTAGAGATGAATTTAAAATGTTATATACGTAAATGGTTTCCTTTTATCTTTTAAACTACTGCACAATTACAGTGTTTTATTTTTGTTGACTCATCTTTGGAGTGACCTCCTAGATAAAGCCTCCATTTTTCATGTCACTGTATTATATTTGCTGGATGTTACTGAAACAATATACATTTATATTAATAAGTGAAATCGGAGATAGAGAGTTTTATTTCAGGCTATTATCTTGATTAGCTTTTTGGATTTGAATCATATTTTTCTTGAAGCGTGAATTAGGTGGCTTTTTTGTCATTCAGGAATAATCTATACCTTATGTTCACTGTTTTTTCCTTGAAAGTTTAAAGGACACTCACGGTACTTTTAATGTTTTATATTTTATGTAAACTATGTGTTCCATTTAATTATAACTTGAAGATCTGTAGCTACATAACTGTACACTATTCTTTAGTGATTTGCAAATCTTTAATGCAGATTATTAAATCTCCTTTGACATTTCTCGTGTTTAAAATTTTCTTAATTGACTGTTTTTCCTGATGTATCTCTGTTTTTATTTTTACCATCTTGTCCTCCTCGTCTCCTTTCTGGTTGCTGACATTGCTTAGTTGCTCAGCAGAGATTTCTTAAAGGTTCTGTTTTATTCACTGCTGCATTTCCAGCTCCTGGAACAGTGCCTTGCATGTAGTGGGTACACATTGGATCTTTGTTCATGAATATCGAATAAACTAATATTTCAGGTACTTTGCTGGGTCCTGGAAACATCAAGGGGATCAGGACATGACCCATGATGTCTTCAAGAGATTTACAATCTGGACTCAGTTTGCACGTTTGACTCGTTATTCTATTGCCTTTTTTTTTTTTTTTTTTTTTTTTGAGACGAAGTCTTGCTCTGTTACCTAGCCTGGAATGCAGTGGCAACATCTCGGCTCACTGCAACCTCCATCTCCAGGGTTCAAGCGATTCTCCTATCTCAGCCTCCTGAGCAGCTGGGATTACAGGTGTGTGACACCACATCTGGCTAATTTTTGTTATTTTTAGTATAGATGAGATTTCGCCATGTTGGCCAGGCTAGTCTCAAACTCCTGACCTTGAGTGATCTACCTATCTTCGCCTCCCAAAGTGTTGGGATTACTGGCATGAGCCACCATGCCTGGCCTTCTATTTACTTTTTAATAATAGAACAGAACTTTTAAAGCTATGGTTTTTCCTCTAAGTAGTGCTTTGGCTGCATCACACAGTGTTCTGATATGCGGTGGTTTGACTACGTCATGCTGCACCTACACACCTACCCCATGTATTATTGTGTCAGTTTCTTTCTTAATTAGCTGTAATTCAGAAGGTGTTTGATAAATGTACAGGTAATTGGGTGGTTGTGGCTAGTTTTGTGACTTATTTCTATTTTCATCACAGTGTGTTATGGGAGTATAGAATGAACACTTTCTGCTTTAAGTATATTCATATTTTGCTGCTCAGTAAGCTGCAGGCTTCTTGTTTTTAAGATCACTAGGACTATAAAATTTCTGGGAAACAATTTTTGGATTCCTTTTGAGTAAAGCATTTGATTGGTACATTTTTAGGAATTTTCTGAAAAAGACTCCTTGTGCTCTTGAATGACAGCTAGGCTGAGCTTTTCCAGGTCAGTAGCCTTTTCCTTGGACATACGGCTTCAGAATCGTTATTATACTGTCAAGGAGTTTGAATAATATTAAATATCGACCATTTTAAAGCTATGGTACTGTTTGTAATGATCTATTTGTTGAATTTATCTTTCCTTGTCATTTAGAGACGTTGTAAGAGATTTAGGCTCGGCACAGTGGCTCACAACTGTCATTCCAGAGCTCTGGGAAGCCAAGGCTTAAGCCCAGAAGTTTGAGACCAGCTTGGGCAGTATAGTGAGACCCCATCTCTAAGAAAAAAAAAAAAATTGTTTTTGTTTAGCTGGGCATGGTGGTGCATGCCTGTAATCCCACATACTTGGGAGTCAAAGGCAGGAGGATTGCTTGAGCCTAGGAGTTCAAGGGTGGATAAGCTATGATCCCACTACTGCACTCCAGCCTGAGTGACAGAGTGAGATGCTGTCTGTTTAAAAGGGGGAAAAAAAAAAAGAAGACGTTCAAGTGTTGCTGTTTGATTGTTGTGTTATTTGGATGATTATGGAGCTTCTCAAACCTAGATTTAGCTCTTCCGTAAGCCTGGAAATTTTTTTTTTGTATACATTAATTCGCAATCTTTTTCCTACTTCTTCGAGAACCTATCCTACTAGCTACAGGTAGCACCTCTGAGGTCTGTCTCCAAGGACTGTCAATTTTTACCACATATTCCTCATCTCGGCTTGTTTAGTCCTTTCATGCTTTTGATATACATGTTTCTGACACTCTACTCTGTTTTGTGATTTAATTTTTGAAATTTGATTGGAAAACTATGGGCTTATTTTATGGCCTCCAATGAAACAGTTATAATGGTAATGAAGTATTTTTGGTTTTGGTTTATTAAAAATCTTATCCTGCTCTCATGTAATAGATATTGTATTGATATTCAGACCGTTGATCTTTTATTTTAAAATTCCACTTGCAATCCTTTCCGTGTCTGCATTTCAGGAGTTACCAAATATTTCCAGTCTCTGGTTCCTTATTCTCTCTCTCTGGAAAAGTTTCTGTCCGGCTCTAGGAAACCTAACCTGGGGTTACAAATCTTGCCTGATGCTTTGTACTGCAAAGAGATCTTTACACCAGACCCGCACGGGGACATCATCACAACATTTCTGCAGAGGAGGCTTCGGCACTTCTCCTTACTCCTCAGTGCTCAACGTCCTTCTCATTCACACTTAGGTCTGAGCAAATAGACCTGGACATCATTGATGCCATTCTCAACCCCCTTCCAGCTCCTCCTTCTCCGTCCCTCCTCTAAATCTTGAGCCTGGCCCTATTCTCCTTTGTCCACACTCTCACCTGCAGTGACCTTACCCCCAGCTTTCAGTGATTCCCCAAATGCATCTCCCATGATTCCCCAAAAGGATCCCCCATGATTCCCCAAATGCATCCCCCACATCCTAGCTTCTTAGCACTAGCTCCATGGTTGGTGACTCCACTCGGATGCCTCATGGTCCCTCAACTCTCCTCCCACCAACCTCTCCTTCCTCCTCCTTCTTGACTTTCCCCATCCCAGGAACTGGCATCAGCATCCACTCAGCCACTCACACTGGGAACCCAGGGATCACCCTAGATTCATCTTCCCTTCATCCCACATCCAATCAGGTGGCAGGTCTGACACCTCTGCCATGCACACATGTCCCAGGTCATACCAGTTCTCAGCATCTGCACGCCCCTAACCATTGGGTCATTTACCTAATATCTGTTGAGCTACATGTGCCGGAGCCTGTGTATAATGTGAGACTCAGCAGGAAGCAAAACAGACACAGACCACTGCCCCTGCTAGCTGTCTTCCTCATGGACTGCCATCCCGTCTCACTTGGACAACCACAGCCACTCCCAGCTGGTCCTGCTTTGGGCAGGGCCTCCTAGGATTCATCCTCCACCACTCAAAATCAGATCATGGCACAGCCCTGCACAAACTCTACAGGGCCTTATAAGGCCTTGCGCGATGTGGCTCCTGCCTACGGTGACCAGGTAAAACACAGGACATCCAGCGAAATTTGAATTTCAGATAAACAATGAATAATCGATTAGCATGAGTATATCCCAATATTACATGGTATATACTTATACTTTAGAAGTTGCTGTTCGCCTAAAATTCCACCTCTCTGGGCAGCCTGTGCTTTTACTTGATGACTCTGGCCATGTTACACCAGTTTCTCCCCAACCTCTTGTGGTAGGTAAGTTCCTAACACTGACTTGCCACACGGACTTCCTGTTCCTTGAGCAGTCTGTCTTCATTCCGACCTCAGGACCTTTGTACTTTGTACTTAATGTCCCTCTGCCAAATCGCTGGGTGGCTAGCTCCCTCCTGCCACCAAGATCCCAGTTCTGTCACCTCCTTCACCTCCAAAGGAAGCTGGCACTCTCCCACCCAATGTCTCTTCCTCACCTCATCCTGTTTTATCTTATCATGACGTTTACTAAAATTATTGTTTGAACTGGGCATGGTGGCTCATGCCTGTAATCGCAGCACTTTGGGAGGCCGAGGAAGGCAGATTGCTTGAGCCTAGGAATTGGAGACCAGCCTGGGCAACAAGGCAAAACCCCATCTCTACAAAAAACACAACAATTAGTTGGGTATGGTGGCACACACCTGTAGTCCCAGCTTCTCAGTTGGGGTCGGGGGAAGCAGGTGAGTGGGAGGACTCAGGATAGGGGCTGAGAGGTGGGAAGCTCGCTTGAGCCCAGGAAGTTGAGGCTGCTGTGAGCTGAGATCTCACCACGGCACTCCAGCCTGGGTGACAGAGCAAGATTCTGTCTCAAAAAAAAAAAGAAAAAAAAAAATCTTGTTCATATGGATCCTTAATCTACTGTTGTGCTCCTTACTGAGACGCTGAGACGTTAGATCCAAAAAGGCCTACAAGAGCGAGAACCTTGTGCATTGTGTCTGTTGCTACATCCCAGCACCCAGAACAGGGCTCAGAGGAGGCCTCCAATACATGTTTGTTCAATGAACGAATGAATGAAGACCGATTCCAATCAAAGCGGTTTGAAAATTACAGGTTTACAATTTCAGGGATGAGAATCTGCAGGGATTCTGGGAGGAGAAATGGGAAGTATCATTTTGTTCCTTTCTACGATTTCCTAAAATTCCAAGGCTGATCAAGTCTCCAAGCCTGACAGTCGCTTTACCGATGAAAGCAAAGACAAGTGCGCAAGGGAAATTTAGAGCATGACAGTGTCTTTAATTCTAAACAGAGTCATGGAGCAGCTAGAAACTGAAGGAAGTTCTCTCCATCGGCACCACGTACCTGAGAAGAAGGCAAGTTGGGGAAGCTGCCGCCGCCGTAGTGATGAGGTGACTCGGCTCCTGGGAAGTCCAGGGAGCAGTGAGGTGTTAGGGAAACCTAACAACGTGCAGAAGTGTCTGGGGAAGTCTGAGGGAAGCCTCGTGGAGAGACTTAAAATATATCTCTTTCTCCACAAGGAAGCAGGGAAGAACAAAATCTCCATCAAAGCAGAACTAAGAGCCTGTTATCAGCCATCGTGAAATGGTGTTTTACAAAGAGAAAGTGCCGTGTGTGTGTGTTTTCCCCTAGCGATAAAGTGATTCATAACAACAGCATCAAATGGAACAAAATGCCTCCATGGAAATCTATGAAAATGATAGCTGCAGGTCCAATTAGCTACAGCTGCATTAGCTGAAAGCCAATTCATTGAAATGAAGCCCAACTGGCCAATTTGGTGAGTGCTCAATTTGTCAAAGAAATTATTTGTTAAATTTACCAAATGTACTGATTGTGCTTTTAAAAGCCTTTAAAAGGAAAGTTGAATTGGATTACTGATGATAAAAGATTCTTTTCTGCATACTAACTAAGCTAAGATTGATATAGCCCCAGAGAAATCGACAAAGGAATCTTGAAACTTCTGTATGTGTAATGAAACACAAAACAGCACAGACTAAAAAACCGTTGCCAGTATGAAATCCCATTTTTCTAACCAAAATGTTGACCTTTCATTTTTTTGTTTGTTTCTTTGTTTATTTGAGACGGAGTCTTGCTCTGTTACCGAGGCTAGAGAGAAGTGGCGAGATCTTGGCTCACCGCAACCTCAGCCTCCCAGGTTCAAGTGATTCTCCTGCCTCAGCCGCCAGAGTAGCTGGCATCACAGGTGTGCGCTACCACGCCCAGCGATTTTTTTTTTTTTTTTTTAATTAGAGACAGGGTTTCACCATGTTGGCCAGGCTGGTCTCAAACTCCTGACCTCAGGTGATCCACCCGCCTCGGCCTCCCAAAGTGTTGGGATTACAGGCATGAGCCACCACACCCGACCTGACCTTTCATTTGTGATGGGATTGTTTTGGCTCCCTGTGACTTTGTTCAGATGCTCTGGAATTTTTTTTTTTTTTCTCTTTCAAGCTTTTGGCGTTTAAAATACTCTTTGCCAATTCTTTGGACGGCATATTAGCCTTACTTTTGCACTTTTAACAATTAAAACATAATTAACTTTCGTCAATTAATTTTTTTTTTTTTTTTCTGAGAGGGACTCTTGTTCTGTCGCCCATGCTGGAGTGCAGTGGCACAATCTCGGCTCACTGCAAGCTCTGGTTCCTGAGTTCATACCATTCTTCTGCCTCAGTCTCCCAAGAAGCTGGGACTACAGGCAGCTGCCACCATGCCCGTCTAATTTTTTGTATTTTTTAGTAGAGACGGGATTTTACCATGTTAGCCAATCCTAGCCAGGATGGTCTTGATCTCCTGACCTCATGATCCGCCCGCCTCAGCCTCCCAAAGTGCTGGGATTACAGGCCATTCCTGTAATCCCAGCACTTTGGGAGGGCCGAGTGGCCGGATCCACCTGAGTCCAGGAGCTCAAGAAACCAGACTGACCAACATGGCAAAACCCCTTTCTCCACTAAACAATACACAAAATTAGGCTGGGCATGGTGGGCCGGGCCGGCCTATAATGCCCCAGCTATTCGGGGGCTGAGGCCCAGGGAATATGCTTGAACCTCGGGGGGCGGAAGGTTGCAGTGAACGCGAGATAGCAACCGACTGGCCACTCCCCAAGGCCTGGGGGCCAACGCAAGAGAAAAACTGCGTGCCAAAAAAAAAAAAAAAAAAATCCACATAGAGCCCCATTGTTTAATTCGCCGCAGGGTTTCCCATTTCTTCGCCAGGTTGGATGCTGAATTCAGTAAACTGCATGGGGAAGAGTCGGAACGGCCCCATGGTTCCAACCCTGCTGACCTCTCCTCCCTAAGGCCCTAAACCTCCTGCCAACTCCATCTCCTAATCACAGGCCCTCCACCCTGGTTATGGGCCTTCTGCTCAGTGGGGCCAGCAGAGCCCAGTGAAGCGGAGCTTCGCAGGCAGCCTTCGCAGGAGGAGTTAGGTCGGGGGCCCGTGGCTGAGCTCAGGGGGCAGAGGGGCCTGCTTTTCTGTCCCTAGCTTCTCATCGGCATGTGGAACCTTCCTAAAATTCTGTCTAAGAGATGGTAATGAGTGAAGGGCCCATGTCAGAGACCAAGGAAGTGGCAACCCAGAGCCGCCCTCCACCATTCTCAGGGCGTCAAAGGAAAACTGGGGAGCCTCCACATTTTTCTGTGCTTTTAAAATGCAGTCTAATTTCGCCTTGTCAAGTTGCTTGCAGCATAGAGGATTTCGGCCTTTTGAATATCTTTCTTTAAATGAGCCAACTGCAGCAGTCTTTCCTGCAAGTAAATTAGCCTCATCCCAGTCTAGGTCCTTAGTTACATAGGTTTAATTATCACGTTTCGAATAAAATCTAGCCTCTCCAAATAAACATAGTTTACATCCCTTATGTCAAACCCACTTTTCTACAAAAAAAATTTGTTTGTTATTTCGAAGAACGCGAGTTTTGCTCCTTATCCCACCCAAGGCTGGATGCAATGGCAACAATCTAGCTCTCCCAACTCCGGCTCCCGGAATCAAGTGATCTCCCCCTGCTTCCAGCCTCCCGCGAGTAAGCTGGGAATTACAGGGCCTGCGGCCCACCCACACTGGCTACAATTGTATTCTTTAGTGAGAGGGGTTTCTCCATGTGGTCCCCCAGGCTAAGTCTCGAACTCGAAAAAAAAGAGCCCTCCCAAACGCTGAAGGGATCTGCCCTCCCCTCAGACCTCCCAAGTGCTCGGAATTATAGGCGTGAGCCACCCTGTGCCCGGCCTACAACCAACCACATTTAACAAATAGAACTGCCCTTGAATAGCAGATTCATGGTAATCAAAGTTACAAGGCTATAGTCATTAG